CATGTGAGAACCCATTTAACTATTTTATTTACCTGTTCACAAGTTAATACAGTTGAAGGACCAGGTTTCTTATCAGCATACTTCCCTTGGATTTTTTATCTTATTGTTGACTCTGGAATATCGTATATATATATATATGTTGTTGCCTGNTATATATATATATATATATATTGCCTCATCAATGAATCGATAAGTGACTGTTAAAAGTATTAAAGATAATTGTGTGTATGGTTTGAAAAAATCATGAAAATGAAAATTATGTGGGATGTAATAGCAGTCTATAAAATAGTATTGTAAAGTATCAAATAATCCACGCACACCCTTACTCATAAATGAATATTTTCACGTCAAGTGCGTGTACATAGATGTATGAAAAATGAAATTGTTATTATTATATTATTGCTCAAACTATAAAAACAAGTGATTGTGGAGAAACAAAAATTTTTTAATTTTGCTAAATAGTGTAAAACTAGTCAAGTCAAAAATAAGAAAATTGATCAGTATAAACGTATACAGCGTATAAATAATTGCTATGGGGTTATTACAAAACCAAATTAATTATACATACTCTGCAGGTAAAATAAAAGTCGGCACGCACATGTTCTGTATAGATGTACAATAAAAAAACCAATGAGTAATAAAGGTAACAGAAAAATGTATTTTTGACTATATTTGTAATTAATGAGCCTACTACGTAATAGATTAAAATACATGCAATTGTAATTAACTAACATAATATAAGTGGTGTATATTTTATAAAGTTTTATATCCATGCAAAAATTGTATTTTAGAATAAAGTCATCACAGATTGACAAGTACACTTATACTTTTCTTTGTAAATGTTACATATTCTATGGCTAAACTTATACAGATATTAGAACATGCAAGTATCCCTAAATATTAGAATTAAAAGTTAGGGATAATTAAAAACCAGAGTTTATTTACTTAGTACATCTTCACTTTATACATATTAAACATATATTAAGTAAATAAACTGAAGTATTTAATTAGCTTTTATTAAGAATCTTCATCAAGTATCGACGATCGTGATTAAAAGCTTTCACAATATTACGTATATGTCATTCTTACGTATCAACGTAAAATAAATACATATTCATTTAAATAATACGTTTAACAAGTTTTTAAATTATATGAAATTTCTATTGCACATAATTTTTTTTCCTTTTAAAGGTTGCTCATTACCTGAGTTTGTGAAATATTTTACATATTGTCATAAACAGGAACAGATGATTTTTACCCTTTCGTGTTAAATAGGGCTACCAGCAAGCTTCCAGTCCATGGTTTAAATATTCTATAAGATTATTTAGAATTATGGTATTATTTAGATTATGGTAAAATAAAAAAATAATATTTCGGGAAAAAAGTCAAAAAACAGATACAAAAAAAAATGTTATGCACAAAAAAAAATTACAAAAACATGCTATTTATGGAGAACGTTTTTTACACTCACACACACACGCGCGCGCGCGCGCACACGCACACACATAAAATTTACTGTAAAAAGGATTATTAGAATTGTTTATCAGCGATTTAGGTATCATGTGACAAACTTAACCTTGAAATTTTTAATTTATAAATAGCTTTTTTCTTTACTCACAATATCGGCACAAAAGATTATTATATCCAATAAAATATCTAAAATCATTATCTTTTCAATAGTTCCCATAAATTTATTATCATACAGACTTAAAACAGGTAAAAATATTTTTCTTAGTTAACAGCAATTGAATTTTTGTTATTCAGAAATCATTGCACTAATTTTGCACAACAAAATTTGCTACTTTAACATTTTAGAATACAACTGTTATAATTCAGTAACAAAACTTGGGTGAATCGGAAAAGAGTTTGAAATAATTTCATAGGTCAACATAACAAAGTGTCTCCTAAAAACTCAGAGCGTTTTTTATTTAAACTAATTTTAAATCGCATTAATAGGGCAGAATCTTTTGAAATGTGGAGAACAGTTAACAAAATACTTTATACTACGTTTAAAGATGCTGCTAGTACTTTAGATTTGGTGGAACATGATTTCCAAATCTATAATACTTTTGAAGAAGCACGTAACTTTACTCTGCCAAGCCAATAATAACATTTTTGTGCGTGGTTTTTAATGTCTGAAAATATATGAGGCAAAAATTTATGGATAAAATTAAAATATTGCTTATTAAAAATTTTGGGAAAGAAAAAGGAGATACTGCTAAATATTGGAGCGTTGCTTAGACAATATACTTAGAAATTGTATAGAATTTTACCTTATTAAGGAGGGGACTAAGGGGGGCTCTTCAAAATCACAGTATAATATAGGAAGATATATACCGTAGGTGTGTGTGTGCGTGCGTGCGCGCGCGCGCGTAGCATGGTGTACCTATATGTATTGACTTACATATATGTAAGCCTATATATTTTTTAATGTAAGACAAAAAGAATTTCAAACCAAGCGTGAGGAGTCTTGGGACACCCGATAGAAGTGAAGCTGCCTCATATATGTGGCAGCGAAACATTATCCGATATTAATTGTACCAATAATATCTGTAGATACACACATACGTATCGGTAATTGGTTTAAAATGACTTGAAGAATTGCTAAAAAAAAAGTTGGTTGCAACAATTTTTTTTCATAGTCGTTCTTCCTTAAATACCACCCACAACAAATACCCAAAGCTATTCTACTACAAAGTTATTGGGTCAAAAGGTATACGGTATTTTTTGTAAGTCAATTTTAGTCAATTTTCGAAAAAATACCTCTGCTTCTGATGCATGTAGATAAGCTGTTTGCATAATTCAAGTATTCTTACCCAAATAAAATCAAAGCTAGGATTAAATCCTATCTATTAAAAAAAAATTTTGTTGATGCTTACACGCTCCTAGACCACCTTTGCATGAAAAACTGCATTTTCAACAGTTCTGTCATCTGTCAACTAAAACACAGTTTAGGGTTAGGCTTATTTACAAGAAAAATACAAAATACCATTTTTTATCATTACTTCCAATCCAACTTTGTAAAGAACAATATACATTTTGGTTTGGGGAATGCATTTTGCATCTATATGTAGCCCAGAACTTATTTTCTCTTCTATCACATTGTGTACATGATAACTCTTACACAAAGCTTTCTTTTTCTTTTTATTGCTCAAACGGAATATGTTTTCAGTGATGGAAAAAAATCCAAAAGTTTAAATCTATCCATTTTTTAATATTAAGTTTAATATAACAAATAATTCTGACACATTGACGTTAAGATCATTAGAAAAGACTAGTTTTAGAAGAGAAACGGCTTTGCCGATTTGTAGCCGAAGTGATAAATGATTTTTTGGGGCTTATAAAAGCATTCTCTTGCGCTAAAAAAAATTTCATTAAAAAAAGTACTACGGTAGATTGGAGGACTAAATATAATCCTTCAAAAAGATTCCATGAAAACGCAAAAAAAATTATTTATCAAAAAAATCATTTATCTGGTCAATCAGCTTTGTTAGTGTATTTTTTAAATTTTTTTCACCGCTATATTTTATTATCAATCATCAGGAGGGCATGGGAGTCAGCGTACACCCAGCCTATGAACAAAGTATAGATACAACTGGTATGAATATGTATTCTAACATCAACTGATAAATATCATGATGCGTAAGTTCTAGTTTTGTAAAAAAGGTAAAAAATATATATCTATAAAGTATTAGTTTAATACACAAGTATATAGTATGACCTGGTACGATGTAGTAATACGTATACAAAGTCGGTGAGAGATAAGAAAAGGCCTTCGAGACGGCAAAACTCGACCGCTTCCGAGCTCGTACGACCAACTCCGAATACTACAGCAGCAGCAGCAGGGGTATGATCGGGGCATTCGATATCTCGCTTAAGTAAGCAGTTTTTTCGATAATCCCTAAACTACGCATGAGCATTATCGTCATTTTTAGTTATTTTACAGGGATTATCGAAAAAACTGCTTACTTAAGCGAGATATCGAATGCCCCGATCAGACCCCAGGCCATCGGCGGCAGCAGCAGCTGCAGCATAGCAGCAGCAGTAGCAGCTTCTATATATATATATACACGTCCCGTAATTGTGGTACTGAGCGAAGTGGGGGAAGTATGTCGGGTTGTTTTAAATTTGTCACTTTTTGCCAGCTTACTCTCAGTCCCAGAACGCCCCATTAGAAGCTTCGCTCTAAAAATGTGTATCGTTATACAATGTTTCTTTGCGAGACAAACAGGGATGTGCGGAAGAGCGGAGCTAGTTCAGCAATCAATAAATACGAATATAGTATGGCTATGTTACCTTTACGGCTCTATGGCTGATCCAATGTGCCCTCATACCATTAAGAGCCTAATCATCTCACGGCTTCTTACGGCCCTGCAGCTGATGCGTCACCCTCTCACCCAGTGCAGTGCTCGAAAAGCTCTTTATGAGGGACTATTACGCATTTACAGCCGACCGATTACTCTCTTACGTAGTGCAAAGACAGAGTGGCTCTGCTTAGGGACGCTCATGGTCCTGCAGCCGACGAGGTGGTCTCTTGCGCAGCGGAGAGCTAGAGTAACTCGGCTTCAAGTACTTTTACAATTCTGTACCCGACAGAGTATTTACAGTGCATCTCCATTTTTATATTTTCTTAATATCTTTTTCTAAATAAGTATTTTTTATAATTTCTTTTCTTATTATTTATGACTAAATGTTTGGCCCTTGTCAATTGAATCGACAGGAAACCAAATTTATTGTTGAAATTGTATAATTAATACATCCTATGAAAAATGAGCAAGTCACTGATGCAGAATATAAAATGGTGTGGTTATAAGATGTTGGTAAATGTCAAAATGTTAATAATAATTAGTAATAAGAAAAAGGTTTTTTATTTTGAAGTTTTTAATGCAAATTTCAAAACATCTGAATAGATCCGTATAGAGTTTTAACTGTGGGTGTTAAAGTCAAGAATAGACGAAGAGTATCTTATGGAAAAAGGATGAATAAAAAAGAGGCAGGAGTTTGAAGACTAGTAAACTAACGTTTTATTCAAAGAGTTATAATAAAACCTGAGTATGTCAATACTCCTTGAAATTTTGACGTTGTGCTTTATAACAGTTGAATGATGGTCCAGCAAGACGTGACTTTTTTTACACATGCGTGTGAACCAAAGATGGAAAAATCTTATGTTTTTCTTGTTTTCCACTGTATCTATAGTGTCTGATAAACATTTTAAAACAAGCTTTGACCCGTAGCCTACAGTCACAGTTCTCTTCTTTTTAATTCTCTTTTCTTCCACTTCCTTCTGAACAGTTGACAATTATTTAGGACCAGGAAAAATTTGGATAACAGTGGTTAAAATTAGTGGTTCTGTTATTCTAAGAGAATGGGCAAAGAGACTTGTATTTTGCATAGTTATTGTGGACCTTTCATCTGGATTCATGGAACCCCTGAATTTGAGTGTATTGCATATGAAATGTAGTCAACATTCAATTTTGAACCATAAAAAATATTTCCCTTAGTTTAATGTTTACGGTTATAAAATTTTTGTGAGAAAAAAATACTATTTTTTACTTCATGGCCTGTAGATCCAATCGTTTCGGGTATAAAAGAACTACTATGAGAATTTTTTTTTGTCGAATGGGTAGAGCTAGAGCTATGTGTCTCCAAGCTTCAAGTTCTGCTTGATGAGGCTCAAGTTTCAAGAAAGCATTAGAGGCCTTTTAACTGCCTGCAATACTTATGTCAATGGTGATGGTCTACCAGGTGGCAAAGAGAAAAAGTTTTGTCTGCCTCCTCAAGCGTAGAACTCGCGGTTTTGTTGAGTTGCACCAGGCTTAGGGTAGGAATTTGCTGCTGGTGAACGCCTGGGTTCGTCCAGTGCGTACGAGCCCTCATCTTTTTTGCGCATTCTGTACACAATAAACATCACTACGAGGATGGCACAGAGAAGTCCAACCACTGCACCTCCAATGACAGCTGAAACATATAAAATACCATCAACGCTTGTTCTGGTAGTTTCATGCAATAAAAGTTATTGTTATTATTGAGTTACACTCGTACATCAAGAGAGAGCTTTCCACGACTTATCAAGAAACATGGCTTTACCCTTGAATATATACTAACAGTTACAGATCACTGTAGTTATAAAAATATCCTATAAATACAAACCTCTATTCATAATTTTGATACTAAAAAAAGTATTTACGATACAAAAAACAGGATGATAAAAAAGCTGTAGTTTAAGTAGGAAGAAAAATCTACTTGGGGTTAAACTATCACACCTTAATGTATCTATAAAAATCAGTCTTAATCATAAGAAACTTATCAAATTATATTGTATAAATAAACGGTCTTGTTATCTTTGACGTGATATATGAAACGTGTAAATAAAACTGCATTTTTAGTTCAATATTACACCCAGATACTTTATTTCAGAACTTTGTTAATTGATTGATTGTTCACCTTAAAACAGCCAGATTAGAATTTGTTAATCTGTTTCCAGTAAAACCATGTTGATTCAGTGATGCTAAAAACTAAAAGATCTTGCACAAGTGCATAACAATTTTACTCTCTCTACGTCAGGCAGGAACTATCAAGCAGTGGAGGGAGAGCTCCCCCTACCGTATGTTTAACCTAAGTTCGACCCACTGGCCCATTTTTACAGCTTAAATACAATCTAATACGAGTACAGACTGTAGCTAACGTAGTCGAGTGGGTATACTCTGTCAGTCGCACGCTAGATTTGACAAACTTAGGTTCGAGACATGCTATGAAGTAACATTTTTTTTTCGTTACTGCTAATATTACAAGATTTCTTTCTGTTCTATTTCAATGCTGAAAATTAATATAAAATCACTTTTTTTTGCTTACCTATTAAATAAAAATACTATGACGCTATTCTTTCGAAGTTCTTTATTTTTAGTAATAACATATAATAATTAAGTTAAAATTGATACTTTTTCCACATCACCTTGTGATAAGTATTTCGGTGCGTTTTTTGTTTTTTTTTTTTGAAAGACTTATGTTACTATTATAATTATTAGCAACATAAAGATGAATAAATAGTTTTGGAATAATATTTGAATGAACTGTTTATGATTTTATGACTACTGTAGCTTTTAATTTTCTTTGGAGTGGTTTGATACGTAGGCCTAGTCCACTCGTTATTATGCCTGCATGTCAACGGCGGATCCAGGGAGGGTCAGGGGGTCATGACCCCCCCCCCCCTGAAACAAGCAGAAAATTCAAAACCACTAACCCCAATAAACGAAGACCCAAGAAATTAAAACCACACAACCCATTTAACCCAAGCAATTTAACCCGGTGACCCAATTGACGACGAGCCTATAACCACAAAATACTGTAGTTATAATAATGTGGTGGAATAGTTGAATTTGCAGCGAATAAGCGTTGTTCATAATTCTAAGTTTTATTTCGCCTTTATTTTACGTTTGATTTCCCGGCCACGACTGCCACTGCCTCACTCGTTTGCGGCTGCGATTTCAATTACCCGATTATCCCAATGATCCAAAACGTGCATTTCTATATTGTAACCCAACGCCATCTTTGAACAAATGATTTGAAGAATCACATCATCACATGGAGCGTCAATAGTGCAATGAAATACGTTTGAATCAGGGATGGGTAAGTGTATGGGTACGTTTTTTTAGCGATCGGTCGGTCGGTCCAATTCAAATCAAAAAAGTGTACCTATACTTACTATGTGTACAGATATACATTCTAGAGGAATCGGACCGACCGACCGACCGACCGATTGCTAAAAAAACGTACCCTATAATTCTCCTAGTTTTATACCGTAATTTGTCTCAAGCTGTATAAAATTGTGTGAAACGTCGAAAATGGATGAAAGTGTAAATAACATTAAAACGCGGCCAAATCACGTGAAAAAGGTTAGTATAACTGTGATTTTTGATCTTGATTGAGTAAATTACTTCATACATTGATAGTTTTGAAAAAATTTTCTCTAAAACAAAAAATATTGTCAATAAATAAATCAATGAATACTTACTGTCTAGACTGTAGCCAAATAAAAACAAACAATTTAAACGTTTAAAGGTTACGATTTCGATATAATTTCATACACGTCATAAACTGTAAGAAAGTTCAAAAATTTTCGACAGTCTTGTACAGACTTTCATACACGTATGAAATTACAATTTAGACATTGAGTTTTATACTTACCCATCCCTGGTTTGAATGCACGAGTGCGAGAGAGATGACGGACTATTCGGCCTCTCTCTCATACTGGTGCATTCAAATGTATTGCATTGCACTATTGACGCTCTATGTGATCGCGGCCTTAGAGTACCGGCATGGCATACACACGATGACGCTATAGTTGCCATACTGTAATCTGTAGGGAGCCCGCACCCAGTAGCAGTATATAGCAGTATAACGCTCCTGTGCAACTGCTAGCCTGTCGTCTGCCTATGATCTTCTGATTGTACCATGCGAGCCTACCGTTCCTTGTACGGTAACTGGTCGGCCTATCGTACCTGCTTAAAAGTTCTTAAAAGTTGTTGCAATTTGTAACGTACCTCAGAGGAGATGGTAAGTAACGGTGTTTAAATCTTGTTATTGTTAATCAGTTAATATAAGTATATAGGGNGGTAACGATACTCGCGTAACTTGCACGTATTTTATGTCCACATGTGGCCTCTCGGGGGAGGGCCAAATTTACCCCGACTATTTCAATTCTCGGGACCGTCGAGTCAATATTTCAGCTTCAATTAGCGCGAGGGCAATATAAACGCGATAAATGGAGATAATTATAATAAAATCGATGACGGCAACAGCACATGGCACAGCCGGGCCAAGGTAAATGAACGCCACTCGCGTACTTTTGTGGATCCACGCGATTACTCGTCAATACAATTGTATTAAAAACTAATTGACGAATCTATGGATAAAAGACTTTGTCTGATGTATCTACTTTTTTTTATTTATTTATTTTTTTTTGTCTCTAAACACAGACAAGCACAAGGCCCGATACGACTTGTATCTGGGCGACGCGCCCGGCGACGACATACTCGGCAGTCGGTCGAGGCGCCAGAAGCAGAAGCAGCCGAAGAAACAGCAACGTCCGAAACTCGACGCCCTGGCTAGGCTCAATGCGACCTTCGTTGCTACCATAGATGCGAGCTGTTACGGCAAACTGAGGGCCGGGAAAGGCCCCGTCAAGCCACCCGTTGTCGACCACGCTGTCTCTACCAAGTTCGTCAGGTGGGCCGGACTTTGGTTTCTTTCCAAAGATTTGTTTTCACCCATAACTGAATTGAAGCAATTGTTTCCGTCATTGAAGCACCATATGAACGCAATTTTTTATAGGGTGATTCTAGGGAAAAAGGTTATGGCACTGGCGGATTTAAACGAAGTGCAGGTGATTCATGTCGAAAAATAGACTTATTCTTTATAAAGAAACCAAGACTTGTGACCGATGATCACCAAGATGAACACCTGACAAATTTACCTATGCTAATCACTCATACAGATGATAAGTGTGCTGCCGATAGCTCTGTATCCTTAAATGAAGAAAAAAATGATCCTCTTGTTTCTGATGCTGTTCAATGCATATCAGTACCATGTACGTCGACTTCCGATTCTAATCAGGTAAAGAGTTTGCTTTCCCAATCAAAATTTTCTTCAGATATTGGGTGGTATATAGGAAAAAACACAGACGATTCAACACAAGCTATGTTGCTTGAACATCATTGGGTGCCTCCTCCAAATTATGTTTTTCCGCACTGTGTTGTCAACAAAAAAGGAAAGCAAACAAAAAAATATGCACAAAAGTCACACCTTGACAGGTTTCACTGGCTTGTTTTGTCAGACAAAGATCACGGTCTTTACTGCAAATATTGTGTTTTATTTGCAACTGTACCTGCAAGTGGTATACAATCAAAAACACGTTTAAAACGTCTCGTCACAAAACCATTAAAAGTCTTTGATGATTAACTTCGTGAAAATGGTGTTCTTTTAACTCACCAGCGAAACGAATACCACGAAATAGCTGTTGAAACTGGAAAAAACTTTTTATCAACGTATCATAAGCCAGAAACTACAATTATAAATCAAATTAGTAGTCAAAGAATGATACAAGTAAATGAAAATAGAGAACGCCTGCAACCAATTGTCAAAACAATAATTTTTTGTGGTCATCAAAATATATCTTTAAGAGGCCACGGTGATGATGGTAAATTATTGGATAAACATGTAGGTAATGACAGCGTGGTAGCTAATGAGGAAAATTTTAGAGCCCTTTTGAAATTTCGTATAGACTCCGGTGACATAGCATTAGAACGTCATTTAGAGACTTCAAAGTCAAATGCAACATATATCAGCAAAACGGTGCAAAATGAGTTGATAGATGTTTGTAAGGAGATCATTCAGGAAAGTATTTTCCAGAATATAAAGGAAGCTAAATACTTTTCCATTTTATTTGATGAAACGACCGATATATCACATACCTCACAGCTGAGCCTATCATTTAGATATCTTTACGATGATATCATAATGGAAGATCTTATAACTTTTTGTGATACTTATGATTCACTTAGATGTAATGAAGAGGATAAAGAATCGGGCGATGTAGAGTATCGCTTGGCAGGTGTGACACTAGCAAAAATAGTTGAAAATCTCTGTCTTAAATTTAACATAGATTTAGCATATTGTGTGGGTATTGGAACTGACAGCTGCTCGGTTATGGCTTCAGATACGAAAGGTACAGTACAAAAGTTGTTAAAAAAAGCTGTGCATGCCAAACGTTGTCCGTGCAGTAATCACGTTATTGATAACTCGTTAGCTGCGTCATTTAAAGTGACGTCTTGCCATAATGCCTCGGGTACGATGAGAAAAGTTGTAGCATTTGCCAACGCATCTGCTAAGAGGCATCAAATTTTTGAAAAAGAACTTGGGGCTACAATGCAAAGTATCTGTGAGACGCGTTGGGTTAAAAGGCATGATGGGCATCTGCAATTTCAAGGACATAACTTGGTGAAAATTTGTAGCGCCTTCGAAAAAATTTCCACTTGGCAAGACAGCAAAACAGCTAATGATGCCCGTTGCTTAAGGCAAACATTGTGCAGTTTAGATTTTATTATATCATCTATTTGCTTATGCGATGTTTTAGGTAAGCTCCAAAATATTTTGTTGTTATTCTTAGGTAATAATGAATGAAAGTAAAAATATTTGAAGATAACTATTGTTTGTGTACTTCAACTTTAGAGCAAATTATATACCTGGAGATCAGGCAGTGCTAGCGACGCGAGAGTAGGTGTGAGAGAGTGCATGTGCGGAAAATAATTACCGCTCTCTCTCTCTCTCTCTGCATCTCTCTAGCTGTTCGTGATTGGCCTAGCCTAACTTCCTTGGGGATCTCAGCCTGACATGATTAGTTAGAGACAGAATGATAATTTCCTTTCATTTGGATGCCTCTCTCGTACCGATTCTAACGCCACTAGAATCACGTTCTACCTCCAGGTATCATAATATCTAAGTCATACGCTCTAGGATTTTAACAAACACAATTTAAGTTATCATTTATATTGCATAAATACCTTAAATAGCGTTAAAATGTAACTCTTATATCGCATATTTCTTTAGGTACAACTGTATCATTGAGTAGATTTTTGCAAACGAGCTCGATTGATTTAAAAAGAGCTACGGACGCAATGAATGATACAATCAGTGTCCTGCGACAAAAAAGAGAACAAGCGCACTCAGTTTTCCAACAGCTTTTTGAAGAGGCAAAAGAAGTAGCTGAACAATTAGACGTAGAAATTAAATGCCCTAGACTGGTTTCAAGACAAACACAAAGAACGAATAACCAACCTGCTCAATCAGCTGAAGAGTATTTTCGCAGGGCGGTGTACATCCCTCTTCTAGATTTTATAAAAAATGACCTACAAGACCGTCTGTCTTCAGAAGTACTCAATTTATTTCAATTAGGCGTTTAAATTCCAAAAGTTGAACATACATTTACCAATGAAGACATTGAAACTCTTAAACAACTCGCAAATGACTATAAACTGCTGACAAACAATACTTCAGTTTCGGTAATTATAAACAAATCCTGACTTTGGATGGCAAAATGGCAGCGTAATAAGAATATTCTGCAGTCTATTTCTGATTTGTTGGAAAATTGTGATGCTGAAATGTATCCCAACATAAGAATTTTTTTATGTATTCTTGCAACACTACCTGTCAGTATAGCAACGGCAGAGAGGTCCTTTTCCACTCTTAAGAGGCTCAAAACTTGGCTTAGAGCGTCAATGGCAGAAGACCGCCTTACTGGACTGGCACTTCTCCACGTTCACAAAAACATACCCATTGACGTGAAACAGTCATAAATCGTTTCGCCAGAAGACAAAAAAGAAAGCTTGATTTTATTCTTCAATTTAATTTATTTTGATGTAGAATAATTTGCTATTAAAAAAAATTAAATTATTTCAAAAACAATGAAAGAATAATTTTTTAATTAATAATAAGTACAACATCAATGCACGAGGTCATTTGGTTTGAAATGCTTGGGGTACAGGGTTACGT